TGAGGAGTGGATGTTTTCTTGCACCCCTCCCATACAAGCCGCATTTGTGGAGAATTGTTGTGATATTGTTTTCACATGCACACAATGACCACTCTTTGTCATAAATTCCTGCAGCTGCTTCAGAGTTGCTGTCGGCCTCTTGGTTGCCTCTCTGACCAGTTTCCTCCGGCTCTTTCATCCAGTTTGGAGCGACGTCCTGATCCAGGGAGGGTCCGTTTTGTACCAAATACATTCCAATTCTTAATAATAGACTTCACTGTGCTTCTAGGCATTGACAAAGCCTTTGACATTTTTTGTATTCATCTCCTGACTTGTGCATATCCACAACTTTATCCCGGAGATCTTTTGACAGTGCCTTGCCTCCCATAGTTGATTGTTTGCTTCAGTTGCACTACCAAGGACTGAAATGCTGCAGGAAAGCTCTTTTCATTCTGATCTAATCAAAATGAGCACAGCTGATCACAGCTGAAAGTCAAACGGCTTTGTGTGCCATTGAGAAGATGATTAGCTACACCTGATTGAGTTTACAAGTAATTTTTAGGAGGGGGGTGATTCTTTTTCCAAATCAGTGATTCTGTTTTTTTCTTTTTTTCTGACATGTTAGTGTTATATCTTTCACTTGGATGTTATAAGTTGTGCCGAGTAAATACAGCCGGATAAAACAAAACCTGTGTCCATGTTCATTTCAGGCTGCTAAGCAACAAAACGTGATTGTCTTTTCTATACCCACTGTAATTTATCTGATCAAATATACAGTAAAAACAGTAATATTGTGAAATATTAGTTTAAAATAACTATTTCCTGTTTTAATACATTCTAAAATGTAATTTATTCCTGTGATACAAAGCTGAATTTTTAGCATCATTACTCCAGTCTTCATTGTCACAGGAATAAATGACATTTTAAACTGTATCCACATACAAAACAGTTATTTTAAATGCTAATAATATTTTACAATATTACTGTTTTTACATAATCATATGCTCAGCTTTGGTGAGCATATGAGAGTTTATTATGAGAGTATATATAAAAAAAACAAAACATACCAGTGTCAGCCCAGTACAGTTTATTCCCTTCATCCATCAAGACCAGTGATGTTGGCCGGACTGAATTACTCCACACCACTGTCCTGTTCTGTCCATTCATACAGGCACACTCCACCCGGGTCATTTGACCTTCCTGAACTTTGTTTGAGAAGCAGAGGCGTCCGCTGGGTGGGTCCAGAGCAATGGATTCAATGGCTCCGAGACCGTCCTGTATTAACACACTGGTGTGTGTGCCATCTGGTGAGGTGACCCGCAGGCCAGGCAGCTTCTCGCTGCTCCAGTACACGTTCAGGGTGATCCAGTCCACTGAGAATGCACGCAGCCAGTCCTTATGTAGCTGGAGCAGTTTCCCCCGAGGCACCAGCGCTGTGTCCTTCATCTTGAAGAGCCCCACGACGGGCTGACCGCCATCAGTCACGTACAGGGTGAGGTCCTGCAGCACTAAATCTAACATGGTTGACTTGTTCATATTGGGAAGGTCAAAACGGCGATGTTCAGGCCAGTTCTTTAGATCCGTGTCGTTGTGCCTGTTCTGTAAATAAATCTGAGAGAGACAAATCGTGTTCAAGTCTAATCCACTTACGCTCCACATAGAAGACTTTGCATATTTAAAAGATGGTGTATCAAGGGCTTAATTGTAAATATTTCTGGACAGTAGTTCTTATTTTTTGTTACTGTATGTTATTATATTTATGCATGTATATACTATCATATATATGTGTGTGAGATTTTTTTTTCCCTTCATTTTTTTTTTTTCCATTTACAAAATCTGGAATTCATATAGCTATAATATAACCCAATTTCACAAAAACATTATTTTTTCTGGAAAACAGTGGCATTTAATGCAAAACATTACTGACTGATTTATCACATTCTTTCAAGAGAATCACAAGTCATTTTTGCAATTTTGATCACACCAAATCTGTATTTACCAGCTAGATAACCCTAACCAATCTGTAACAACATGGAATATATCACAAAGACTCAAATGTTTAAAGATGAATGAAACTGAATGAAACTGATGTGTCTGTATTGTGACATACATTCGAGATTATTGATAAAGAAAACAAAGTAGGCTTATTTTAGGGACTTTAGTTTTATCCATGGGTAGAAAAGTGAACAAATGCATGTTATTGTGCATCCATGCACGTGTTATAGTTAATTTTTTTTTTTTTTTTTAGAAAAAAAAAATGCTGACTTAAAGCTTGCAAGGCATTAAAAGTAAATAAATAGCAGCACTGGCTTAAAAGGACATTTTACATTCTAGAACTGTTAAAATAATTATGATAATTTGCAAACAACAGGGCTATAGAGACCATGTATTACTATTATTACTTTTACAGTTATGATGATTATCTTTTGTTGGTCCTGAAACAACACAGCACTGCTGTCAAACAGAAACAGTCCTAGTCCTATTCCTGACATTATACTAGAATCAAAGAGAAAATGGTTTGAATGATCATTTGTTGTATTCACTGCCATATCTTAAATTACATGAACTGCACTACTATGAATTAGTCAATTAATGAACATATGACTTTTTTAACATCTAGCTTTGACCATAAGGTATTAACAGCAGCACCTGTGTGATAGCAGTTGGAGAAAGAAACAACAGGAAGGACGAGTCTTTGGGTTTGGTGCAGGTCAGTCCATCTTCACCCAGCAGGAACTGAGACGGACACTTGCACACAGCCTTCAGCCCCGGCGATAAAACACACAGGTGAGAGCAGTGCTGGGAAGCACACGGGTTAGAGACGCCCACTTGGAAAAGTGCATGAATGACCTGCGGACACACACAAGCACCAGTTACCTGACTTACATCTTACACGTGCATGTTTCAAAGCAAGCAAATATAGCCTGCACTTTGCGAATGTCTGTGGGGTTTAATTAGATTTTTATGATCACAGTGTTCAGGAATACTTGCCTTCAAACCAAACGGCTGTCCAGGACGTTTGAGCAGGACTTGGTGCTGTTTGCCCGTGCTTTTGTGAGCTCTCTGAATGGTTCCTCTTTTGGTATCAGACCAGTAGACCTTATCATTGAATACAGACACTGAGAATGGACTGGGGGTCTCCATCATCTGCAAGAGCTGCGAAATTGGAGAGGGGAATTGATTGAACAATGCTTTTAAAAGATGCTAGAATATATTTTCAACTCATAGTGGATCTTTCTTTCATTAAAGACCCATATCTAACTAGTGATGTACAGTAGTTAAAGGGGTCATATGATGCGATTTCAATTTTTCCTTTCTCTTTGGATTGTTACAAGCTCTTGGTGCATAAAGAAGATCTAAAAAGACAGTATAAGTCATTATAATCCGTAATTATGTCCCCACTGGATGCAACAAATGCCTAGTTTATAATGGGTTTTAATGTTTTTTTTGTCTCGTCGCTCCGGCCGGACAGGGCATCACAATATGGAAAGGGGCGTAACATTTCCGTCACACGCTTGAGGTATTCGGCCAATCACAACGTACTGGATAGCTGGCCAATCAGAGCACACCTTGATTTTCAGACTGATGAGCTTTGTAAAAATCGACGCATTTCAGAAAGGCGGGCCATAGAGGAGAAACAATAATGTACAGTATGTGGAAAATAATGTTTTTTGAACCTTAAACCGCATAAACACATTTCATTACACCAAATACACAAAATAATGTTCTTTTTAGCAGCATCATATGACCCCTTTAAGTAATTTTACAATTACTGCACTTACAGTAAGTAAATTTAAGTATCTGTATGTTCGAGTATTTTTATTTTGACAAACCTTTACTTTTACTTCACTACATTGTAAAGCATAATATTGTACTTTTTACTTCACTACATTTCATAAAGACATATCGTTCATATCGAAGTGGAGAAATTTACCACCCTCTCTGAGACGCAAGAGAGATGTCCGATTTGTGAAAGAGCCGATTCTTTCCAATTAACCTCCTGAATCTGTTCACAAATCACACTGAATGATGAGAATGATGGCTCAAAATGAGCCAAAGAATCGGGATATTGTCAGAGCTTGAATGTGCATGCGACTGATGGCACAAAAAGTTAGTTATTAATGCCGAATTTTAGTACTGATTTACTTCCATTTACTTATGGTAAATGAAAATCATATTTAGGTCATGACTGCTGGTTATTTCTGCTGTAAAAGTGCGTTCTGTTCAAGTCCAATGAAGGGTGATTTTAAGAAAAATAACAAATTTCTGCCCACGCATGTTCCTCACTGCTGTAGCAGTTTAGTATGTTTGCATAGCGTTCCTCTTACAACATTAATGCATGTTGCTGCATGTGATTTTTATACTATTTGTCACCGCATACTTGCACAAATGTAGTTTTTCCTCATTTTTGAAATACTATATGGTATTATTACACTTGTTTGCGCACTTGATTTATCAGTAATTTAAAGTGATATTTTGGTACATTGAAGTTTAATGTTTTAATAGCGTATAATAAGTTTTATTAATAAAAAAAAAAGTTAGCTTATTTACATATCAATACCTACATAATAAATGTCTAATACTAATTCTTCTTATTAGTGCTGGCTAGAATAAATTAACATGGTTCATCGATCAGAACTTGAATGTTGATCCAGAAACATCCTACAAGGTAAGCAATTGTAAACACATTCAAGTAGTAGCAGAGCATGTTTGAAGCCAAATGAAATGCTGCAGTTTTCTAACCGTCTGGTGGACACATCCATTACCTTAATATCTTCTCCATCAATATCGGCTGATCCGATACACTTGAGTTTCTCATCGGTCCAGTAGATTCTGTGATGCAGGGAGTCCACCGTCAAACTGACTGGCCATCGGAGAGAGTGACTGACCAGCACACGTCTGTCTGAGCCATCCATTCCTGCTCTTTCTATTTGAGCGTCATCCACGGTTTCTGACCAGAACATAATTCTGAAGGAATGACATATCAGGGTAAACAAATAATTTAATTTCATCATAAGTAACATCCTAAAACAGTGGTTCTTGTGCTTTGTAGTACCCACTGGTGGCTCTGTAAATTAAAAAAAAATGTGACAAAAGAATGATTATTCAAACCCTTTCTGTGGCAGCAGAGTGATGGAGCGAAGCTGCCCTAGATCTTCACCCAGGATCATCACAATATCTGTGGTTCTGGTGGCAGCATTGTCCAGTCCCAATGCATTGATCTGACTGTTGACGCTATCGGCCCAGTAGAGGTTCCTCGCCACCCAGTCCACTGCCAGACTGTCTGCACTGATACCTGACACGGAGAGATACAGAGAGAGAGACGCTTACAGGTCATTACCAATTCTGTCACATCAAGAACTTTAATACATCGACAAATAATCTGTTTTGCGTTTCTACAACATGGTCTGTCCAGTCATGATCAGGCAATATGTAAAGTCAAGTAAAGTTTATGTAGCGCTTTATACAATACAGACTGTTTTAAAACCGCTTTACAGTAATAAATAGGAAAATAACAGTGTTAATGTTGTCAAATTCATAAAATATGAAACAAATTCGATTTCAGCTGTAAAGCAGCTCTAAAAACACAATAGAGTCATTATTCAGTTCAATTTAGTTCAATGTTGTTTCAATTCTGTTCAGTAGCAGTATTAATGTTGCGAAGTTCAAGTATGAAACAACAACATCTCAATTCAGTTCAGCTGAATTAGCTTTTATTTATAAATATATATAATTTAATTTATATATATATATATATATATATATATA